TTTTACAACAGTGAATCCGGCGCCTATGTGGTTATTTTGCTTCTGTTTGATGTTGAAAATATGATTTTTGGACATTACTTGGTATCCTACAAAGAAATGATCCTTAGCGGCCAATTATTTATTTCAGTTTGAGTAGCCGTTCTTTTCGTTAGATTCTTGACAGCTTATATGAAGTTGGTTACACGAATTCAGCTGCTCTCCTCTACATTCTTCCATTTTTGGCAGATCCGTGATAGCTCATCATCAACGAAGAACCTGTGCCATTCACTGTTTTGTCAAAAGAATTTTCATGAAATCGTACTTGATCATCGCGTGATCTTTACTTTCAAATTACTCGATCAAGTCCTGCTCTTATCTTATCATTATCTCATGTCGCTTCTTCGATCCACTGTGTATGAGGTTAGCTTTTTGTAAAATTCGGACTTATCATGGCAATCCTTGAAAAACATTCATGCCTTCGTACTCATTCGTAGTTTGTAAATGCTCTGAAATCTAAAAAAGGGCACCTAATTTTGTCTGCGATATCCCTGCTGATATTTTTATTTTCTGACCAGAAAGATAATCTTTTCAAGACTTTATATAGCTAATCCTCTTGTCCTACGAGTAGTTTCAATGGTAATTCCCATTTGTTATTACTCAGGTACATGATCGAGATTGCTGCGAGCGCTGGCGTTCCATTTACGCCAGATCCAGATGTCATGAGGGATGATGAGGTGGCTCAGGCAGAGAAGATGCTCATTGACTTCAAGCAAGCTGGTACCACTACTAATGTCACCGATCCAACACCACCAGTGATACCGGGTGCTCCACCAGGAGGCATTCCACCCCCTGCTCCTCCAAGTGACGTAAGTCATACAAATTTTTTTGACGGTACAAAGTATTGAAACTTTTAGGGTGTAAACTACGGCTGGAACCTCCCACCAGGTGCACCAGGTGCACCACCACCACCTGGACATTTCCCACCACCAAATGTTCCACCTCCACCACCAGGAGATGATTATGGAGGCAGCGGCGGAGGTATCGTTTTATATACTTCTGTAAATCGTGTGCCTTTTGAAACTTGCCGTTTAGGAAGTCACATTTACG